TCTTACATATTTCATGAACACAAAAGGGTCATTAACAGTTCAATCCGTTCTTTAATTCACATATTCCTCTTTAGGCTTTATTCTTAACTCGTTAACTCATTTACAATGCTCAATGCATGCCTAAGAGTGTTTACAAGTGAAAGAGAACGGAAAAATATAACACGGAATGCATTTTCAGAGTTTCAGAAATCAGGGTCCCCGCTCGAGTGGACCCTTAAGCCTGCAAAAGTGCTGGTTACCTCAAATTCCAGCTCGAGCGTGAACTTGGCCGCTCGAGCGGACTTCCTGTCTACATAGCTCCCCGCTCAAGCGTCAATTCCCCCGCTCGAGCGGGAACCATGTCTGCCAAAAGTGCTGGGAGCACGATTTTCCCGCTCGAGCGGACGTCAAAAATCTGGGATTTCTAGATTAAGTTCTTGAGCTCCAACACGATTTTCCAGTCAATTTTTCACGCACTCTAAGGCTCAAAGTTCACATATAATCATACTAACATGGCACCAATGCAAGATTATAACACTATGAAGCTCAATTTCTTGATTCATCTACATGCATGCCCCAAAATGTGTCAAACTCAACACTAACATAACAAATTCATGCATTCAAGCTCATATCTTCTCAAATTGTACATGCATGAGATGAATTAGCCACATTCTCAACTTAGATAGCACAAATGATGATTATAACATGAGCTTCAATTAAAATTGTACATGGATTATACATTTTCATGCTCAAACATGCAAATTCAAGGTACTTTCTTACATGTATGCACATAATGGCCTCCAATTCAACAAAACCAATTCAGTTTTCTTATAATCAGCTAACTCATGTTCTTGGCCATTAATAAATCTTGAATTTAAAATTTACAAACTAAAATCCATGAGTTCACTTACCCAAGAGTTCAATCTCCCAAACTATAACAAAATCTTGGGCTTAATCTTGAAGTTCCCAAAATCTTGAGCCAAAATCACCCAAATTCTCTCCCTCTCTCCCTAACAGCTGGCCCTCTCTTCTCTTTTCTTAGAGTTTGATCAGGCTAAATCATCTAAGGGAGAGAAATGAGGTGTAATGCTAAAACACAACGAATCCCACTAAGGCAATATAATAAGAATAAAATAATTGGGCACCAATTCATCACTCGACTCAGCTTAATCTGGTCCGAATCAAATTTTCAATTAAATTTCACCGTAGGCTCAAAAAATTATGCCAATCACAATGGCGAAATCAATTCTAGGTTCTGTGGCCGGTAAGGCCCTCAATTTAATTTCTAAAAAAAGATTATTCAAACAAATATTCCTACGGTGAACAGATAGAACTTCAAAATCACATATATTCACATAATTGGCACACAAAATTATATCAAACACATAATCATATTTAAATTAAGGACCGATTAGTATATTACGGAACAGGGGTATCACACTTTTATAGTGGGGTTAGCTATGTTTACATGTAAGTGATGATTTGATATCATTATTGTATTAAATTTTTTTAATAATTTGGTTTGTTGTAATTTTTTCATTTTCAATCAAAATAATCATCATTATTTTCGTCATTAAGAAATCATTCTAAATGTTATTTCTACATCAATTTTTTTATTGATTAATTATTTTTCTTATATGGACAAAAAAAAATTTGCAAAACTTGAGAGGAGCACGTGCCCTCCTATTCCCTTCATAGCTCCGCCACTGGCTAAAGGGATTGACTTATGTAATAATAATATTACATTAAAGTTGTTCATTAAATGGGCATATTTAATAATAATATTTGAATTCATATAGCAACTGACCCTAACACCCTCCCCCAAAAGAAAAAAAATAAAAATAAAAAATCATTGTGAGAGTAACTATAAACATTGGCTCCATTTATTTATTTATATGAATATTTACAGAATGCTCTCTCTGACTCCATTTATTTATATATATGAATATTTACAGACAATACTCCCTCTCTCTCTCTCCATTTACAGCATATAACTAACTACATTACATTACAACAACAACTTGCCTAACTTCTGAAGATGTGTAGTGGTATTACACGAAAATAAATAAAATAGAACAGAAGCCTCTTATGCCAAATCCCAATTCACTGACCACACTGGACCTTCATTGAGACATATGGTGCAAACTCTACACTATGGTTCGTGTAAATTAAAACACAAAACATGCAGTGGAAAAAAAATAATTGGATCATACCTTCTTGATGATAGAACCTCGTGGATAAATCACGTGCTTCAGAAATTGATAAAACAACCCAGCAGTGGAGTGATATCACAGATTGAATATCATCCACACAACTCACAGTGCAAAGGACTTGATTGTTGTTTTTGGGAGAGAGACAGCATATGGGTAGAAACAGATCATACGTTGTTTCTCTTAATCACCCATAACCATATATCAGATATATAATATATTATTATTATCTATCCATATCAGTTAAAACTGATAATATCTGTATCCTGAGTGGTTATCCTAAATAGGTTTGAATTCAATTTCAAAACCTATTTGGATAAGGTTCAAATTCAAATTTCAAATGGTCATGCCACATGGGCGCCCATTAAAAATAAATAAATAAATAAAAATAAAAATTATTACGTATCCTATTTTGATATTTTAAATTATTTATTTTGTAAGGTATTTGTGTATATCATAGAAAAAATTATGCTAATATGATAATTGTAACATTTTCTTTTTATTGTATTTGTCTGAAAAAAAAGAAAGAAAAAGGAATGACATATTTTAAAAAACATATTTGTCAACTATTTTTCGGGAGACAAACTTAATAAAATGAAAATGTTAAGATTATTGAATCAATCTACTTTTATTTTTATTTTTTTTATGGATAATCATTGAAAATTTAATTTTAAACAATAAATAACAATTCTAATCAAACAATCAATAACAAATTGGCACAACGATGTAACGTGGAAAAAATCACAATTGGACTTGTCCAATTATGATTAAAAAAAAATGATGTGCAAAAATTACAAAATAATCTACTAAGAAGACAAAAAGAAATTATAAGCAACCAAAAATCAGATAATTTACTTAATATTTAAGGCTTGTGACTTTACCCCACCAAACATTGGATAGATATATATGTTTTTAAAAATTTTATTTTATTGATTCAATCTCATCATCCATTGGTCTAAAAAGTTGAAATCCAACCATGTTGAGACATATGTTAAGAGTAAAATCATAAGAAAATGTCAAGGTTGTCTATTTCAAAGGTGCCATTTATGTCATTCATACACGAGTGACTTAAGCTTATGTTTATTTTAAACAAAGAAACAAAGTTAGTATTTAAACGGACAAGTTAACAATATAAGAAATGTCTCTATGGGCCCATGGTTGGAGAGATATCAATCAGCTTTGGTAGCCCTTAAAAGTTGTTGTTGTTGTTGTTGTTGTTGTTTTTTTTTTTGTGTGTGTAAAATTGTGATCGGGGTTGATCCCTGAGATGAATAAATTATGGTTTGGTGTGCAAAGCTATATGGTATGAATGGAATTTGAAAAAGATTAAAAATAATGTGAAAGAAAAATAAAGAAAGAAATAATAAAAATATATTTGAAATCAAAATGAAAGATGGGGAAATAAGGAAAGTGATTTGGAGAAAATAAATAAAAATAATGAATTTTGAAATCAAACGGAGGAGAGAGAGGAGACAAGCCCATGTGAGTGAAAGAGGGGTTTAAAGAAAGTGAGGGAGTGGGTTGATTAAAAAAAGGATTGTGGGTTTGAAAGTGGAAAGATGAGAGAGAGAGAGAGTGAATTTGTTTGCTTTAACAAGATGACAAACTTGGGCACAAGTCTCTGTGGCAGCATTGCATTTTTCTGCCTCCCTCTGATACTGGGAAGCTACCCTTCTTGCTTCTGCAAAGGTAATGTTCATATGGTGAGCATGCTCTTCATTCACTGTCTCCTGCAGTTTCATCTCCTCTGTCAACAGATCCACAAACTGCTTTTCCGTCTCCTCTTTGAGATCTGGGTCATCTCCTCCACAGTCTGTAACAGAAAGATTTGCCAAGCCAGGAGCAATCTTGAGAAGGGAGAGAGGAGGAGGACAATCACAAAGGCAAGGAGTGCAAGAACCAGTACAGGTTTGGACATTGAAGCCCCGGTAGTATGCTGTGAATGGTGCTTTTGTCCAGTCAGCTTTCACTAGCCCGCCTCTCGTGGCCCAGTCATCAGCATTCCAGAGGCTAGAGTAGATCTGCATGGGTTGGTTTTTAGGGAAAGGGACACCAATTGATTCACCATTCTTGAATACCCGTATGGGAGTGTTATCCACCAAGAAAATGATTTGCTGGGAGGTCCAGACAATGGAGTAGGTGTGAAAATTTCTGGTAGGGTCAAACCAGAGATAGAACTGTTGCTCTCTATTTCCTTTCCCTTGAGTGAACACATTAGTATGAACAATGTAAGGGTTACCACTAAGGTTTCCCAAAAACTCAAAGTCAATCTCATCATGTGTTGGCCCTTGAGAAGACAAGTAGTAGGCAGTAACAGTGCCAGCAGAGTTGCCTCCACTAAATATCTTGGCCCTTTGATCACCCCATGGTATGTCAAAGTCTTGGTAGAAGTTTCCACCATAGCTAACCATCAAAGAGCTCATCACTATTAGACTACCCAACAAGAGTTTAAATGGAAGGGCCATTTTAGAAGGTAAGAGAGATTTTTGAATTGAGTAAAGGGGGTTGGAGAGGAGGTATGTGTTGGAGGTTTCAATTGGTTGAGGTCTGGCGGGCGGTTAAGGCAAAGTTGCCGCCCGCCAGAAGGCGAAGAGTACCAAGAGCTTAACCTATAGCTCTGATACCATGTAAAAATTGATGTATTATTGATTGATTTATTTTGATATCTATTACAATGATTCATGATTCCTATATATAGAAGAGGTTTCTCATTCGGTTGACTGCATTAGTACATGGGCCATGATAACTTGCTAAATTTTTTGACTGCAGAATGCGAAAATTTAATCTTGTGGCATTTCTTATCTAGTTTTTGTGACTTTACTGCCAGGTAACATCTGCAAGAGAGATATCCTTGTGGAGATTAAAACAGTTGATAGAGTGGTTGGCATTGATGATAACGTCACAGATCCCCGGCTCTGTGCTACCATTGCATGTGAAATCTATAAGAACCTGCAAGCATCTGAGGTTCATCCTTCTTTTTTTTCATGCTGCAATCTATAAGTAATCTGTTTGGCATATTGACCCACTTTTCAACTTTTTTCATCGTTTTTGGTCCCTTGAAAGTGTGAGGATTTTTTTGTCAATAGAAATACTGGTTTTTAGTAAGGAATTTCATTTAATCGTACCTTTAATTAAGTTTGTAGGGTTAAAAACTTAAAATAGGACAACAATCTTATATAGTCTGAAAAGCTTGGTTATTGTAGTGGCAAGGCTATGGGTTTCCCATCCTATGATCCCATGATGTTAGTTGCAATGCTAAGAATTGTCATTAGTGCCTTTTATTCTTGTTATTATATAAACTTTCATTCAATTCTTTATATGTGATGTGGTTACATATTCAATGAATGGGAAGCAGCCAGAATGTCAGGGTGCAGCAATATTTTTCCTTAAAGACCTTAACCAATTGTCATTCTTCTTAGCTTCGTGGTTGTTCAAGTAATATGCTTTTGTTAACTCCATAATTGCAAATATAAAGTTGTTGTTAATTAGATCCCATTGAAATAAGAATTTAACCTTGAAGGAATGATTCAAAAGTAGTTTATAATCTGGCAGTTTCTTTGTCTTTTCCCAGGAGGTGATTTTGGTGCAGCCCTAACAGTTACAACCATTTACTTTTCCCACCATAAAATATATATTATAATACTATCAAACTGTGAAACTCTTGAGATTTGCGAAGTTTGTAAAATTGCATTATAATATTCTGTTGAACAAACACTAGAGAGTAAAAATCGCTCATGTCAATAGGTTGATTGTGTTTTGAAATATGAAAGTTTATGGAGTTCATCACCTAGAGATTAATCAACAAAGATTTTATTTGCATGCATTGTCTGCTTTGGTATTTGTTGGATGGGCAAACTAAAAATTCCAGTAGGTTGATTGTTATTTGAAATATGAAATTTTAAGGATGCCGTCACCCAGAGATTGAGAAACAAAGATTTTAGTTGCATGCATTATCTGCTTTGGTATTTGTTGGATGGGAATTTTTTTTGTTTTTTTAGTTTTGCATAGAAATAGCCGATCTCAATTATTCCCATATATAAAATTTTGTTTCTGGAAGTTTCAGTTTAAATTTGCCTGTAGTACAGGGGAAATATATGAATTTGTAGTTTTAAAAGTTGGTTTCAATTTATTTCTTTGGTTTTCTTGTTTTTTAGAGAAAGAAAATGCCTCGCACAGACCTTGTGGAGAGAATTCAGGGAGACATTAATGCCAGCATGCGTGCTATACTGATTGATTGGCTTGTAGAGGTAAGCCAAACTATTGGTGACATTACCAAGTTGAATTTCTGTAGTTCATCAAAAAACAGAAAGTGCATTATTGAACCAGTTCATTCCATAAAAAGTGGCATTCTTTTATGGCATCATAAATACCACCCTTGATGTTATCAGGTTGTGAAAGTTTAGTCATTGTGAAGGGGACAATTGCTTTAACCTCATAATCGGTACTTCATTTTGTTGTTGTTTTAGATAAGCCATTTAGTAACCAGTTGTCATGGCATATCTTATTGTAGGTTGCTGAAGAGTACAGTTTTGTACCTGAAACTTTGTTTTTGACTGTTAACTACATAGATCGTTATCTTTCTGGCAATGTCATTCAGAGGCAACGAATACAGTTGCTTGGTGTTGCCTGCATGATGATTGCTGCGTAAGATTTAACATTTTAGTTTCTTGTTTTCAGTTGTTCTTCTCCATCTTCTGTCTCTTCTTCTCTGTGTGTGTAGTGAGGAGAGAATGATAACTGATTACAACCAGTAATATGATAATGCTGCCAGTAAATATGAGGAGATCTGTGCTCCTCAGGTGGAAGAGTTTTGTTATGTCGCTGATAACACATACTTCAAGAAAGAGGTTTGGTTGTAATCTTCAGATGGATTTTGCAATTCTAGACTTCTTTAAAGTGCTTCTGTTGTTAACCTGCATTACGCAATTTAATTGCTGCAGGTTTTGCAAATGGAATCTTCCGTGCTGAATTACTTGAAGTTTGAAATGTCAGCCCCAACCGCTGGATGTTTTTTAACGTAAGGGCCACCTGTCTGATCTTTATTGAAAGTAGTGCATTTTAGTGTGCTTCTCTATTCATTGACTTGACTATTCGTGCAATTCTTAGGCGGTTTGTTCGTGCTGCTCAAGGAATTAATGAGGTATTTATCTCAGAGTAGTTAATCCTCGCATATAAGTTTCTTGGTTCCATTGCTCCTTGAGTTGATTAAAGTTTTCCATCACCTGGTAATGATGGAACCCTGAGCTGTCGCATGATGTACTAATACTAGCAATATGTTTAATGGTCTCAATTGTTGATGCCATTCCATATTGATATTAGTTTGATTTGCGTGTTGATTTTGTGGTAACAATGGTGGTTGCTAAACCTTTACTGATTTGTAGTTTCTATCCCTACTTCTAAAGGTTCCATCAATGCAGTTGGGTTACCTGGCCAACTACCTTACAGAGTTATCGCTGCTGGAGTATGGCATGCTTTGCTATGCTCCATCTCTAATTGCTGCTTCTGCAATTTTTTTGGCCAAATTTATACTTAACCCATCAAAAAGACCATGGGTAAGTGTGAAAAAATATCATAAGGCCATTGCTTATTTCTAAGCTATTTTGTTATTTTATATGCTCTGATATATCCATGCAACATAATTTAGTCCCATGTTTTTTTGGTGCAGACTTTGACCTTGAGGCATTACACACTTTACAAGCCCTCTGACTTGCGTGACTGTGTCAAGGCAATACATCGTCTCGTCTGTAACATCCATAGTTCCAGTTTGCCTGCAATTAGGGAAAAATACAGTCAACATAAGGTGAGCAAAATCTCTCTCTCTGTGTGAAATACACTATATGCATGCTCCATTGTCATTTATATTTATTTGTTGTTAATATTTTTTTTCCCTATAAAAGGAAGATTTCGGAGGCCATTATCGTTTAAAGTGTTGTATTGGGTATAAATTGGAAAGGATTGGACAAATACATGACTTTTTTCTGATATGACAAACATTGATGCTATGTTTGGATCTTGAATTTGTGGAGGGAAGGGAAAAGAAAAAAGATGCTAAATCTTCTCCTTTTTTTTTTAGTAGTTGTGTTAAGAAAATGGATAGGTATTTTTTTAAAAAAATCAGTTTTTGTTTGGTACTTGTGTCTAAGTAATTTCTTTTTCCTTTCCTTCACAAATCCAATATGCTAACAAGTTTGGTCTATTTACATAAATTTACCCATGAAACCAAAATTAGAGCTGAGTAGCCAAATGCAACACCTGAATCTGTACCTCCTGCAAAGTTAGCTAGATAATAAAGATCCCATCTATAATTACGTGCTCTTCCCGTCTTTTATGTGGGTCTTGTTTTCAGTTTGTGATGCAGATTAAACAAGACAGCATCAATTGTAGACATAAGAGTGGAATACCAGGAAATAGAGAAGTTCTCTGTCATATATTGAGGAAGTATATATTGTTCTTAATATATTTTCATGAGAATTTAAGGAGATTCATGGAGTAACCCAATCATCTTTCCTAGGGTTGTTACATTAATCAACTAAATTTACATGTATTTCATATGAATTTCTGGTAGCTGTGGCTTTGCAGCCATTCTTCTTCTTCTTCTTCTTCCTTTTTTTCCAGGGTTGGTAGAAGAGTTGGCATCATGAAGAAAAACAGGATAATTGGCAACTAAATGAGGCACGGTTTCAGAGGTACCCTTTGGCTCTATTTGATAGCAATGTCGTTTAAAAAAGAATCTATCTACTAATGAGCATCTTAAATGTATTGGTTAGTAAAGCATTTGAGGGTTGTACATTCTTCAACTATCCATTTTTATTGGGGAATGTTCAACCAGTTTAAGCCTATTATGGAGTGCTGTATGAGCACTACTAAGAAATGCCTCCAGTGACAGTTACCCTCTGCTGTAGCATTCTTCTTGGTGGAGTTTTGTTTACTAAATGCAGGTGGTTTTAAATCATAATTTCCGAACCTAGTAGTTTTAAACTTATTTTCCAAACTCAGGATGTTTCAAGAAGTTTTTTTCAGCAACTATAGTTGTGTTCCGGACTCCTTTTTTCAAAATAAAATCGTTTATGGTATGAAAAAAGACATTAATGAACATAAAAAAAATATTTATGCTCTTAATCTAATCAAAGTAGATTTTTTTTTTCTCCTTTACAAACATTCATATATATAATATAAACATACACATGTAAAAATATACACATGATTAAAGGAAACACGAAAATATCCATCAATCGCTCTGATACCAATGTAAATTAAAACACAAAACATGCAGCGGAAAAAAAATAATTGGATCATACCTTCTTGATGATAGAACCTCGTGGATAAATCACGTGCTTCAGAATCTGATAAAACAACCCAGCAGTGGAGTGATATCACAGATTGAATATCACCCACACAACTCACAGTGCAAAGGACTTGATTGTTGTTTTTGGGAGAGAGACAGTATATGGGTAGAAACAGATCATACGTTGTTTCTCTTAATCACCCATAACCATATATCAGATATATAATATATTATTATTATCTATCCATATCAGTTAAAACTGATAATATCTGTATCCTGAGTGGTTATCCTGAATAGGTTTGAATTTAATTTCAAAACCTATTTGGATAAGGTTCAAATTCAAATTTCAAATGGTCATGCCACATGGGCGCCCATTACTAACAGTTCGGAAATTTACTTAGCCAGTGATAATCATCAAAGGAGCATTGCGGTTCATCAGTTGGGTGCTCTGCATCAGCGGGCTTCATGAATTTGGGTCCCCAAGCTGGGCTTCCATTCTCAAATGAGTTATGAGTCAATCTTCGTATCCTAAAACTCTCTGTTCTGATGGTGAAGATATCGTCGTAGCGTTGATAATGATGTGGGTTCGAGATTGGTTCAGCTGACAGCCTAGCATAGTCTGTGTTTAACACGATAGTTTTTCCATCTGGACTGAACCACTGGCGGTTGGCCCATCCACTAGACCCGCTCTGGACCAACTTCTTTAGCTTAGTTCCATTCAGGTGAACAATGTATAATTCAAAACTCTCTGAACCGGTGTAACTTGCTTTTCATGTTCCTTTCGGATATGATAACCCTACAGTTCGGACTTTCGTAGTTTTGAATTTGATTTCACAAGTGTAATGTAAAATAGATAAACACAAAAGAGTTCAAATCCGGCAAATCTTTTGAAAAATTGATTTTGAATTAAAATGCCAAAAATGAACTACTTTGCTAGATATAGAGTCGCCACCTAAATGGTTTTTTTTCTTTTTTGAAAAATTTAGGAAATTCGAGACTCGTGCCAAAGGTTACTTATTCGTCATCACCAAATTGTTTCAGTTCATGAACTTAGGTACGAGAGGGGAATGTCATGAATTGAGCATTCCACTCGCCCGATCAAATTTACATTATATGTTTTTGTTTCGATTATTAGACTATTGTTACTATGTGATGCACACAAGTATAGACTAATTTACAAAAGTTGAAACACTTTGATTTCATGTTTGTTTTGAAAAGTGTTTCGAATCTGTACCACTTGAAAGTGATCTCATATGCACACTACTCAAATCATCCCAATTTAAGCAATTAGCTTTCATCCACAGGCATTCAAACAAATATAAGCACTTAGCCTCATGGTAATCATGCTTAACATGAAAACAATCACACTCATGCGATATGCTGAAGCAGTAAAGCTTAGCCCAATTCCCGAGGCGAGTCAAAAGAGAGGAAATAGTTAGAAAATGTATGATCCGAACTAATGAAATATGTCTAATGCAACACATGTAATATGTAATTAGAAGTCCGGCTACTAGTATATCATATGAATCAATTTGATAGCATGTAGTTTAAGCACGTTTTCAAAGAAGTAATAAATAACAATGTGAGTTAGAATAAGAAGCTAAACCTTATGCATGCAAGACACATGGATGCAAATCATGAAAAATGCTAAACGAAATGTGAAGCTTTAAACTATCCATCATAAGCGGGTAATTATTACAACGCTGAAGTTAACTAACTATTTTAGCTAATTAAATAGTTACAACACACTCTAATTAATTAATACAAATTAACTAATTAGTTACATTACAGAATTAATTAACCAAACAATTAATTACAAGTTCACTAATAACATGTTACTATTAACAAACTCTAACGGGTCCTGAGGAGCAAGGAAATGACTTATGCATGCACATGAATTTCTTCCCCGAGAATGCCTTTGCAATGTTTTGCACCTCAGCCTCTACTCTGCTCTGTGAAAAAAAAGTGGTATTGCCTGGCTGAAAAAGATGGCCGGCTGCCCACTAATAGTGGCATGTTGTACGGTAAAGGTGGTCTGCCGCCACTAATGTTGGGTTTCTCCTGCTGCAACAGAAAACAAACTGAGCACAAAAAGAGCATTCTCAGGGGATTTTTATCTACCTTGCCTCTCCTTATCATCAAGCAGCTCAAAGGAGGAGTAGGCTCGATTCACAAGACATCAATCGACACAAATTCATTGCGTGATGACTTATGAATCAAGGGATACAATTTCAATAAGTGCACAACTAAAGACTCATAAACCTCTTCTCTATCATGATATTGATCAAGAGAAGCGGTTGACAAGGACTCTTGAACCGTTTTCATCACTAACAAGTATGAAACGACTCAAGACTCAATGGGTTCAATTAATGTCCGATCGAACCCCAAACCATTTTATTATCTTGCTCCATTTTAAACTATTGATTACCTCTTTTAATTACCTTTCCATTTGTTAGTCATTTTAGTCCAAAATGAGCATTAAGTCCACTAAAGGAGGGAAGTGTCAAACAAATGGTTGTTTTGGGCATGAGAGAGATGTCATGCCGTCGGTAATGAACCGCTAAAGAGATTAAACCCTTAAGCACAACGATCTCTATCTTAAACTTAAACAAACAATCGGTTTGAAATGACTCTCAAAGCAAGGAAGAAGCCAAGAAATGAGAGAAGTACATAGATGATTAGAGATGACCACAAGTATAGAAAGTTTGAAATAAATGCTATCAACTCAAATAAGTTGGTGTCTAATGCCTAAAACACCAAGCTTATGAGAACCATTACACTAGAAGCATACTATACAAATCATAAATGACATGAACTTAAAACAGTCCTAAAATAGGCTAAAATAGCATTTAAATTAAGGTAAAAACATCTACAAAAGTAAGCTAAAATAATGGGGCAATTAAGCTAGTAAACAAGCCAAAGGAGAGAAGGCTAACCCCTTCATTTTTGGGACTTCAAAAACCACATTTTAGCCTCTGAAAAACCTTTGAGAATCTGTGTTAAAAAGCTCAAAAAAAGATAATGAAAAGGTGAGAAACACAAGGGTAAAAATGTAGAAGACAAGAGTCAAAGAAGGGTGGTCAACCCCTCTACCTTTAATAGCCTTACACCATAAGTTTCAGCCCATAAATATAGGTGAAACATAGTCCAAAAACAGTAAGAAAAGATAGGAAAGAAGTAGTGCAAAAGAGCTAGGATGTATACCTTTTAAAGAGGAGTGATCCTTTTGTTCACAAATCAACAATTTCACACCCTCAAGAGTTAAAATGCAAGCTCAAACACCTCAGCAAAGAACCCTTAAGATTTGGTTTAGAATGTCTAGGAAAAAGGTATAAAAGTTGCAATGGAGAGAGAAATGTAGAGATGAAAATATTTTTTCAAAACTGTACTCCACAAATTTTTCTAACCTTAATTTTTGAGAGAGAGTCATCAATATATAGAAATATATGAGACTAGCTCGAAAATATCCATACAGACACAGCTGATACAGTGCATGTATCTATAGAGACAGCTGATACAGTGCATGTATCTATAGAGACAGCTGGCACTGCTGAAAAGATCTGAATTTTTACACAAGTGGCCTGCAGGCCAGTAATAGTGGACGGCAGGCCACTAGTGGGTCTGCAGGTCTCTGGATGATCAGGCTTGAAAAACTACTGTTTTGGTCCAAAAACAAGGCACAAGGTTTGTAGTTTTTTGAGGTTTACAACTGAGATTTCTTGCTGAGGAACTCGAGCATTTGGACAAGCATATAAATTCATCATTAGGTGATCAATTAGTGGCGCCCAAGTCGTTGGGTGGTAAAAAATGAGGTGTTTACAGTTGCCCCTCTTTGACAAGGCTTGAAGTCATGAAATGATGTGAGTGAATGTCAAAGCCCAGAGACGATCTATTTTGACAAGGCCATAAGACTTGGGCAAACAATCAAGGCATAAATTAAATTGGTTGAACTTGAAAATTGCCTACGTATCCCTTTGCAAGAATCAAACTAGCGTAGTTTAGGGGTAAGATACAAATGATATGCACAAAGAATATATAGCTAGACTCACACGCTTCACGAAACTGGTTATTTTAAAAATGCATGCTCATGTAAGATGATGTAATAAGAAATAACAAAATAATTACAAAGAAGTCCAACCATGTTTCACGCGGAAAGAAATCTAACCACGTTGAAATCGTGAGAAGATGAGAAAAATCGCTCAGGGTCGTGCTTTTGCACACCTCGAGATGATGCAATAAACGCAAAAAGCATGAGATTGCACGATAGATGCACAAGGCA